TAGGTTGACTAGATCCTTCATGAGCTCTCGCCAGGTGGCATGGTCCTTAAGCGCTAGCAGGGAGAGGTATTCTTTAGGGGCCACTCCCATGACTACATCCATACAAGATACGTCAGTCATTCCCAGATCCGGAGTGGTGAACAGACCAGTCAAATGTTGTTCCAAAGCCTGCATGGATGACCTCCATGTTTGGCCCTTGAGGGCCTCGAGCTTCAGTCTAGCCTTGAGCGCAGCATGTTTATCCTAATACCGGTCAAGGAGAAGATCCTCAAGGGTGCGAACAGGGGTGACCTTCAGCCATTCAGTCAGGTCTATGCGTTCATAGCCTGCTGCGACAGTTTGGAGCTCAATGTGGTTTTGTACGACGGACTCAGTATTAGTCCCCATGATCATACTTCGGTCCTCTTGCGCTGTCCGCACGACCTCGAAGTATGACCGCATGGCACTAATCCAAGAGGTAACGTCTACCTTCCTGTCGTACTTGGACGGCAGCGTGACCGCCCGCTTGTCCACCATGGGACCGTTGTACTGAACACCAGTAAGGACTGCGGCGTTTTGGGCTGATGTCCCTGCATTCGGGACATGACCAACGCAGAACTGTCGGTGCTGCCGCTCGAGGAGCTGGCGCCGGTTCCTGCACTTGCCGCATTTCCGCTTGCCCTTGGCATGAGGGCTGTGTTGGCTTGAGAGGTTGGGATTATAGCAGATCGAGTGTTAGGAGGGCGGGAGGCAGACAACTGGGACTATTCGAGGCTAATTACCTTAGCCCACAGCTCTTCGTTCCGCTGCTCAAGTGCTGTCATACGAAATTAAGGTTTTCCAAGGTCCGCAGTCGGACCAAGGCTGCTACAGCAGCAGCTAGTTCCTCCTGAAACCGGTCAGCATCAGCTTCCGGGATCCGAAGGAGAGCCACCTGATCAGCAATGTTGGTGGCTTTAGTTGCTGCCGCTGCCTCCCTTTCCCTCTGCACGGCATCATCATACAATTTTTGAAAGAACGGTTTTTGGCTCTCGTCTGCTGCGTCCAGCATGGACTGCCATTGGTCAGATGTGATGACCGCCATGCCGTAGGAAGGGGTGTCAGTAGAACTCTCAAGAGGGGTCCGCTCTCTCCTTACGTTTGGACGAACACTCCTCTTGCCCCTTCTCACACTCTCAAACAGCACACCTTCTCTCTCCCTTTCCTCTCTTTTCGCTGTCTGCGCACACGTCTCGATACCGGACATAGATAGTTCAGATAAAAGAAACAAACAGAAAACCACTCAGAGAAGAAGGTAGAACTCCTAGCCGGAGCGGCGAATCATTTGGACTTAGAGCGTGGCACGCAGCAGAAGAATAAATTTAAAAAAAAAAGAAAAAAAAAAAAACAGCAGAGAGGTCTGATTTATGGAACGGGCCTGATCAGATCAGTTGGAGATCCCCTCTTGTCTAACCTGACAGGGGACATGCATCACAATAAATCAGACGAAGAGGACTAATCTGCAGCAATGGAGATTTCGAGGGGTGCAGATGGTCGCCGAGCCAGACGCGGGGCAGTATGTGCTAACATGCAGTAAGGCCAGTCAAGATCCCCTTGAAAGGAATGCCCTTGCTGTCCGTATGTCCCCCAAATCCAGCACAACAAAGAAATGCACTGGCGGCAATAGATCTGGGCCCAAAAGGTCCTGTCCCGTTGGGCCTGGTCCCACTCGGTCCCGAGTGGTCCCAAGTAGGCCGTGGACCAGGACCAACGTGATAGGGGTACCAAGTCAGTCCCAAACTGCCTCTACCGTACTGGAAAGGAAAACACAACTTTCAGCAAGAACTTACTTCTACAGCCGTTCAGAAATGAAAAGACAATGCACCGTAGAAAGATATGTCATTTAGTGTAGACACATCATCCATCCATCCATCAGGCGAGAAAGCAATCCACAAGCTCACACACACAACCAAGACCTCGGAGAAGAGGAAGAAAACCCAGCACACCCCCAACAGGCCATGAAGCACCAAGCAACCTCCCACGGGCTTACCCAGGTCACACGGCACTTACCTGTGAGGCCAGGCCTCCAAAGATGGATAACGAGTCACTCCCCTCTCATATAAGTCCTCCTGACCCCTAGCTACCACTACACGAAGTGTCCTAGCATGACTAAGAGGGCCTTCCTACACCCCTGTTGCAAAGCCGGATCCCTCGTCGATGCCTGAAGACCAAAGTAGCAACTTGCAGCAATTCGATGCAGATATGGAAGCCTTCGATCAAGTCTCCCTCTTGAGGGGAAGCCCAAAAGTCACTCAATGTCTTCCTGAAGTCCAGATTCCAGGTGCGAGTACCTCTCACTCTCTACTCCCTCTCGCTTACTCCAAACAGCTTCCTTTGTGTCTCGCCACCCCATACATTCACTCAAGCAACCTTGTTGGGTCCAATGTCGACCCTACATGACCTAACCAGGTGGGGGCAGCATCCCCATACCTCGCTGCCCCACTCAACCCTAACTTCCCAACCCTAATCCGAGATTAGGTCAGCCTTAACCTAATTCGGAATTAGGGTTAGGGTGACTAACACCTCTCGCCAGCAAGTAAGTCTGCTTTGATACCAATTGTTACGATCCTGGTCATTTCCCAAGTGCAAATTCACAATGAAAGACAATGCCACCCAATTGCGAAAGAAATGAAAGCACTTGCAAAGAGATAAAGACCAGAGGAGAGGTAAAGAAGAAGAAGAAGAAGAAGAAGAAGAACACCAGCAAGACCAATGAC